TTTCAAATATATCATTATGCATATATTAAGAATACTTGGTTTGGCGCCCATGTATGACACTAAAAAATAGCTGAAAAAGGCGCTGGACCCAGAGAAAAGGTCATTTAGTTCCCCTTTGCGTACCTGAATGAAAAAATACAAAAGTTTACAAAATTCTCATACAAACTACCAAACATAAAGACAGAAAAGTGTTACAGGTAAACATAAACATAAAAACAGTGCGAAAAAATTACAACAAAAACAGAACACAAAAAATTGATAATTTACGAAAAATTCTTCTCTCCTGCTATAATTTCAGAAACTTCGCTGCTCCGTTGATTGTACCGAAGCAGAAGTACGAAGTGCTGTTTGCACCTTCCATTGCATTCATTCATTTCCAATCTGAAATGAATGCAAACCATAACAAGACGTGAAACTGAATCAAATGCCATGCTGGTGGATGATAGTTCCTTACCAAAAATTTTTAGATATTTAAGTGATTAATAGAAAAATATCTCACCTGGAGAGTGAAGATGCTGTGCCATTTCACCCGTTTCTGTCAGCTCTAATCTGTTGCGCTTGACTCTCCTGTCATCTAAAATCGATTCATGTGCCCTTGGACAGCAGTAGAGCATGTGCACTTCCACGGCTGCCTGCTTCTGTTCAGTCGTGAAAGCATGTGGGAGAGTCAAGTAGTACGTGCAGGCAGCGCAATACCCTGGAAACATTTTTAATATTACGAGTAAATGGTAAATGGAATAATTCTGCTGCAAAGGAATTACAGAAATTAATTTCAATTACCATCTCGTCTGTGGATCTTTGCTGCGTGGATGCGCCATTCCTTGAGAGTTTGAAATCGGTGTTTACAGAAGCCACAATCTGAAAATTCATGATAGCATCCATACTGTTCCATTTTTGAATATACATAAGAAATTAAAACCACTCTCACTCACACACACATATTTCTCTTTTCTCATTTTTTTTCATTTGAAGGATACGGCCACTTACCGATAGAGGTTCGTCCCCCATCAACGACGACTTCGTATGCACTAACGACTAATGCATACGAAGTCGGCTCTTGCAGCTTCCTCTTAAGCTGACGCGGAAGACTATCCACACTCTTAACGTGGAAGACTTCCGGTGCCGATTTACTCCTCGTCGAAGTCGTGGAATGGGGTTCTCGATTGTCCTGTTTTTCTGCGGTGTATCACAGATTATTTTGCCATAATTCTAGCATAAATCAATTCTTTTCACAAGGAATGCCAAAAGTGAGTCAGCTTTATACCAATTTGCCATTATATTCAACATATCCAATCGAGAATACTTACAGAACTAGTTGCCGCATTCTTTGCCCCGTTTCTCCCGCGTCGTCGATTTCTATCGCTAGCAGAAAATGAGGCCTGAGATACTTTCTCTTCATTGAAACGAAGCTCCACAGATACTGACTGCGTTGCTCTTTCATCTTCTCTTTCTTCATCCTCTAAATCTTCCGAGGATTCTTCGTAGAATGCCAATTTCCGACGAAGCCGATTTTCACGCTAAAAGAATTATATAATATAGTGAGCAACCACGATACTGAAAGTTATTCACACACAGTAGCTAAAAGGAGTATCACCGCATAATGGAATGCTTGTTAAACTAGAAATCTAGCAAGTGAATTTAAACAAAAAACGAAAGCTTACGCCTCTAGTTTCATGAATATAATTTTCGAGAAACCGATGCAGTCGAGGATTACATTCCGAAAATTTTAGGATTTCGTCGATGCTGGTAACAGTGCGTATAGTTTCACGCACCATTTTGTTCAGTCTGAAAACACTGCTTGATATTGATGAAATATTATTTAATGGACACGCATATAAACGGAATAGAATCACTACGCAGTTTTATTCTTACTAAATGTTTTTCAACAAACAATACAGTTACTTCAATTTTTGATAAACGGAACAAGAATTTAGATCCATAGATGAAAAAACGTTAAAATCGAACAAAAAAACGCTCAGCAATGAAAGGTAAACACATAAGAAACGCAACTCTCAAAATTTTCTGAGTTTTTCGCTTAACAAAAAAGTAACTAAATAAACTTGAATTTTTTTGTCTACGAGAAGATCACAGAAGGGAGTGGGTGGTTGGCAGAGCAAAGGCATTTTATGTACTTTTGTACTGAGTATATAGACTTATCTCAAGCGTTGCATGCGACGGCGTGTTTATGCAAATTTTCTCATTTTGTGGTCATCTCATTT